GGATGATATTGCACCAATGAGTGCGATCACGGGGTACGTGTCTCTCTCCGACCGGCTTGCTCCGGTCATCATCACGCTCTCCAGGTCCCTCCGTGCTGTTGAAATGGTAAGAGCCCCTCCTTTTTCAGTGCTGCGTAGTATTCCACGGCGAAGACGTGCCACCGTGTTTTAGTCTATTGATCTGCCGATCCGTAAGCGTCTCGGGGATGAGAAAAAAACGATTTTCTTTGCCGATGTTCTGAGTTCATCCATTTCTCCGGCAGATAACCGAATCGGAAGCTATGCCACAGCCCTCCGGTGGCCGGTGAGTGGACCGCGTCCGAAACCTTTATCACTCTTTCTAACGCCGGAGACGGGGGGTCTCGGTCTACATCTTCTCCATGCCGGCTGGCGTGGGGTCCGCTTGAGCTACGGGGCATGGACACGGAGGGTGGCGGCTGCCGGGGTGACAGAGGGGGGTGTGAGCGGACGGGGTCGGAAAGGATGGCTTTTGTTGGGAGGAAGTGACATGTATCTTAGGAAGGACAGCTGCCCGTGTGAGAGTTTGTGGGGCCAAAGGGGGGAGGAATTCCAAAGAGGGGGCCACAGAAGATCCGAAATCATGGATCGCGGTAGGAATTTTAAGGACGCCCACGGATGGGCCAATTGTTTAGGAGCGCGGAGAGCGTAGGACAGGAGAGCTGTGTGAATGTACCGAAGGTTAAAAATAAATGGATATATTTTAACTAGAGGCCCCGGTGCACGAATTCGTGCACCAGGGGGGTCCTGGGCCTGGCCTGTGGGATCGGGCGGAAACCAGCTCTCCGACATCCCCCGCTACCACCGCTGTGCTGGCAGTCATCAGCCTGGCTTGTGGCTCAGCAGAGCTCCCTTGTGGGAGCGTGCACTGACCACCAGGGGGCAGCTCCGGCATTGAGCATCTGCCCCCTGGTGGTCAGTGTGCATCATAGCTACCAGCCAGTTGTCCGGTCGTTCTGGTTGTTCAGTCATAATGGTTGCTTAGGGTTTTATATATATAGACGCTAAAGGGATCAATTCATCAAGAGGATATAGTACTTATAAATATTTATGCACCCAACACTGGAACAAGTAAATATATAAAGCAAATATTAACAGATCTGAAAAAGAATATAAACAGACATATAATAATAGTAGGAGTTTTCAATACTCCACTTTCTATGGATAGATTGTCCACCCAGAAAATCAATAAGAAAACATTGTACTTGAACTACATGCAGGATCAGATGGACTAAACAGATAAGAAGCATTCCATCAAACAACAACAGAATATGCAATTCTTCTCACGCACACATGGAACATTCTCCAGGTTAGACAATATATTAAATGCCACAAAACAACTCCATAAATCTAAAAAGATTAAAATAATATCAAGTATCTTTTCTAAACACAATAGTAAATGTGAAATCAATTACAAGAAGAAAAATGGAAAACTTATAATATCTGGAGATTAAACAACATGCTCATAGACAATCAATGGGTCAAAAAGGAAACCAAAGGAAAATAAAAATATCTTGAGATAAATGAAAATACAAACACAAAGACTTAAGAAATACAGAAAAACCAGATTTAAGAAACAAGTTTATAATTGTAAATACTACTTTAAAAAAAACACACACAGGCAAGAAATGTCTCAAATAAATAACTTAATATTATACCTCAAGGAACTAGAAAAAGAATAACAAACTAAACCTAAAGTTAGCAGAAGAAAGAAAATA